TAACCTTATTCAATGATGATTCTTTTGTAGCAAATAATAATTTATATCCAAGGTTTCCATTTCAAGGTCGTACCAAAAAATCACTATCCCCCTTCTCTCTCTCCAAATCTAGTTCTATGGGCAGCATATGGGGGTTCAAAGCACAAAAGGCACGAGGCTAAAAAGAATTGGTGGCTCCTATTTCTTCTCACAACATCAACAATATTCATATAAACGTGTATCAAAACCTTGGTGGAGAATAAATCGTCATTTTCATAACTAATATTTTCATTTTTTAAGTTTTCTAACAAACCCTAGTATGAACTTACCTGTTTCCCCACTTAGCGTGCAGCTCCATAATCAAAAGTTGTTCCTCCTGCGTGATATTCCCCCGTCTAACATCCGGTCGAAGGTAATTCAGCCACCGCAGACGACAACTTTTTCCCGTACGCTTAAGCCCTAACACAAAACATAAACAAAATCATTTTTTCAGTAGGGTTTCCTCCAAGAAAATAGTTGTACACTTCAAACATGTACTAGAGTGTAACATGAATAGTTATCGGTTGAGCGATATGCATACCTGCAGCACGAGCTAGTGAATTCCAAACGCCTTCACCGTGATTAGCTATATAATTCATGAGAATCAGATCTTCTTCCACGGTCCATGGCCCTTTCCTCACTTCTGCATCTTGAGAATTATTGCATGTTTTCTTGTCCATTTTGGTAGAAAGAGAGAAAATTCTAGTTAGGGATCATGTGATCTTTTGAAGAAAAACAATGGAAAGATGGAGCTCTATTTTATAGTAAATAAGCTCTTAATTGACGTCATATATATAATAATAATATTAATTAATTAATTATTTATTAAAACATATGCATGAATACATGATAACCACGTATGTGACCATGCTTGGTCAAGTAATATTGTTGACGAGCTATATGAACAAAATGACATTGTTACACAATTCGGGTGTTATGGATCCATTTATGTTACATAATTCGTATTGAAGTTGTGACAATTGAATTTTTTTGAGAAGAATATATCTTATATTTGTTAATTTCTAGTTCTCTCGAGGGTCTAGAAGCTTCCCACTGCCTCACATCGTGCTTTTTTCCCATTGATGCAGCTTTTTGCTAAGTTAGACCATTTCATTAAAAGTTTAAAGCAGAGAAGAGACGTGTTAATATATTTAAATTAATATTCATGAGGCCTTCGATGCAGACTTGACATGTGTAAATTTTTAAAATTAATTGAGATATACTATAGTAAACTATATTACATGCCCAAATGTTGTTTATGTTGACAAGATATATAGGTTGGAATTGCTTGAGAAGAGTTGTGCATCTCAAGGATAAGTTTTTGGTTGCTAAAAATCTTTAGTTGCCTTTACCGACCAATTTTATTGGTCACTAAAGACCTTATTTTTGGTAGTCTTAGTTCATGAAGAGAAAAATGTTGAGTACCTATTGATATTATTTGTTACCATATCATAATCTAATATCATACATTTGAAAATGTTGACAATGCAATAATCCTATGAAAAATTCTATTGTATGTAAAGAATGTAATGCATCAAACATTACATAGTAAACATTGTTTAGTACTCTAACAAAAGATTTTATACACTTTCAACAGTAAACTTGTAGGAAAAAAATGGCCATTTCCAATTAGGGTTTCAGTCTTCGACGTAGATATATCAAATCATGAGTAAAAAAAAAATATATGATTAAAATTGTGGCTAATAAAAATCTCTATTAGCTGTCCATTTAAAAGATTGTTCAAGAATATGTTTGACAACAATTAAAAATTGTTTTTGAGACTAATGAATATGTTTGAATATTTTTTTGAAAGTACTTTGTTTAACTAGAAGAACTTTTAAAAAAGATTATAAGAAGTCGACGCAGAAATAGAAGTCTCTCATTTCATGTCACTTAGGTTTAGACAGTTGTAATCCACACAAATTAAGGTAAGACGAGAAGGGACAAAATCAATTGTACTACATTATCACTTGTTGTCTAAACTTAAGAGTAAGAATGTATTTAGCCCAGTTTGCGCCCCATTTTGAATATATATATATTGAAATGATTTTTTAGAGGATTTGTGATTAAAAAGTAGAAAAAATTATCAATTTAAGTGTAAAATCATTTTATGAAAGAACGTGTACTTGAAATTGAGTGTTCAAAAATTTAATATTTTCAAGAAAAGGAGGGCAAACACATATTTAGCCCACGTTGGTCCCCATTAAATTAAATTAAATTTTATTTTTCTCTCTCTTATTTTCAATCACACAATCTTCCATAAAATAATATGACATGTAAATTGAAAACTTTTTTTTTTTCTTTTCAACCACTAATTTTCTAAAAAAATACTACTCCACATATTTTAATTTAAAAAAATAAGGGGCCAAACAGCAACTTTGTGTTAAAAGACTGATTCCTAATCACATGGGCCCTTTTAATGATACATGCACCATTCATAACCCTAATATTATCTTCTTAATTGTCCTTATTTACAACTTTACAGAGTGACATTTCAAAAGAGCTCCAAAGAAGCAATTCTACTTTAGGAAACTTAATTATTGTGCTTATAATGTATAATTAATTAATAACAACTAATTGAGAGTTGTATATACATTGGAAAGTGGGTTGTTTGAACTTTGAATAGATAAAAAATATCTAGGGAAAAATTCATAGCATCCATTTCAAAAATCAGATATTTACATTGGAAAGTGCGTTGTTTGAACTTTGAATAGATAAAAAATTTTTATTTATGATTTAATTAATTAATTAAATATATTAAAAACACATATTTATTCAATTTGGTTACAAATTAATGATTTAGTTAGTCATATATTTTTTTTTATCACAAATCAAAATTTTTATATGTTACAAATTATTTTACGTTCACAATTCAAAAATTTTGTAGGTCGCAATTTATTCATCGATCACAAATTGAAAATTTAAAAGTCACAATTTATTTATTGTTCACAAATCACAAATATTATAAGTCATAATTTATTATACAAACACAAATTATTAGTCATAAATTAACAATTTTCATGTCACACATTATTTTTTGGTAACAATTTATCTTTTTCATTGGTCACAAATTAACCAATTTAATGGTCACAGTCAACCAAATAATTTGTGACTACCACCAACACTTACGACCACCATCTCCACCACACAACACCACACCACCTCGACCAACCAAAAAATTCCCAAAACTATCATCATCCGTTGTCGCTGCCACCGCTACTACCACCATGACCAATGCCACCACTGCCATCACCACCAATCCACAACCACAACCGCAGTCAACGCCACCACCAACCAAAATGTCACAAACCCCATCACGCACAATCACCACACTACTACCAGGAGCATGACCACCATCACAACATCATCAAAATTGTTACTTCACTACCACAACCCGCCCCACTACCCCAACTCTCCACCAACAAATCAAATCTAAAACGCCATCACCTTACCCCCATCATTGCCACCTCCACCGTTGCCGCTTCCACCATTACTGCCATCACCACGTCCACCATTTTAACCACAACCCAAACCCAATTCACCGCCTACACCAACGGACCATCGCACGACCTCACCACCACCTTTAGCACCACTTGAACTACCACTACCTGCGCGAGCTCTGCCGTTGGTAGTGTTGTCGCGCCACCATCACCTGCACCATCTTCTCCAACACTGCCAAAACTCACAACAATCGCCAACACCACCATCTCGCCTATAGCACCATAACCAACACCTAAAGCAATAAAAAGATCGAAGAAAGAAGCACCACCATTTAAAAATAGAATGTTGTGCGCTCGAAACCAAAAGCATTCTTAAATCATAGCGCCACTCAACTAGAATGCCCTCAACACAGATCGGAGGAAGAGCATTGGGATCCTAGCTTGGTGTTGTGCGTGATAGTCGCCACGAGGCCGCGACGTAACTACACGAAGGCGCTGGCCCTTGTGTAGCATCAACATTCTCTGTCGAGAACACTGCTATTGCAATGGTCAGTGGTGCTTACCTTTTGGCTATGGGCAGTGTTGGCAGCCAATGGTGTGTGATAAAGGAATAGAAGAGAGAAGGGAGAGAATATAGAAAGAGAAGTAAGAGGGGAATGATTAGGGTTTGGGAAGTGGGGAGTGGGTTGGTTGTGTATATAGATTAATTTAATTTTAAAATATTATTAATAATATTAAAAATTTGAATTATTATACGATTTTTGAAATAAATAACATTAAGTATGAATTTTGAAATTGAAATTTAAAAAATCTGGTAGAGTGTAAATTCATGAATTGAAAGTTGAATTTATATTGGACATCATCCGAATATTCTCATCTATTATGAGTGGTTCTATTCCAAACTCACGTTCAAACAAAAGTATGACAACGACATGCTGATTTTCTTTAAATGATTCACATTAAGGGTCTAATTTTGACAGACACCTTGAACTATGTGTGTGGTTGAGATCTTTCACAGTCCAATCACAATGACTCAATTACTTAGGCGCATTTTATCACTAAATTAGTTACTCGTTCTATGAGTCTCTACTGAAAGTCACTATGTCAAAAGTGAGAGAAATGCATCCACATCTTCGTTGTTGATATAAACTCTTACGATTCTATTAAAAACAACTTTGAAAGTAAAAAGGTTTTGAAGAGAGGGGTAAAATTATATAGATTTGTGGAAAAAAAATAAAATAAAATCAAGATTAAAGAAAGCTTTTCTAACAATTTCATTGTTATGATAAATTAAGAAATCTTATCAGGAAGATAGGAAATTGGAGTTTTTCTTCATAAATGTTGGTCAAAACAAAGGAATTAGAGACATGCAATGCACATACCACCTCGTGTTAAGCCCCATGTAATGTCTTCTAGTAAGATTGTGTATAATTAGCATAATTATGCTACTTTTTTAAGTCATTGAGTTCCAACTGGAAAATCACTTATATGACTAAAAATATCACACTTTTCCTCAAATGGGAAAGGTTGAAAGAAACTGAATTAGAGCAATGATAAATGTGTTGTTGAAAGTAGTTAATGGTTTCATTGTTCTGAAATTTTCCTTAATCAATTCCTAGCCAAAAGTCAATTCCGTGGCTTAATAAAAAACGTTATTCTTGGTGTACATAGGGGGTACATAAGGGTCACACCAAGAATAACCCTAATAAAAATTAACATTTGGTAGAGTTTTAGTTAAAGTGATTTTCTTTGGAGAATGTGTGATTAAAAAAAAGGCTATGAGTTCATGTGCAAAATCATTTTATTGAGAGAAAGTATCATTGAAAATGAGTATAGAGAAAAATGAATTTTAGAAAATGGGAGTAAAATAGGGATGAAGAGTGGACATTTGACCTTGAATAATGGAATTCAAGCCACCGATTCTAGCCACAAATTAGAAACCGAATATTCTGATAATTGTCTTAACTAACTATTAATGCTTATTTAGAAAGCGAAGCAAGGGAAATTCTTCGATTTTTTTATTTCCCGTTAGATTGTTAGTATTTGTTGTATGTCATTGTAATTTATCATACATACAAACTGAAGTGAATTTGACTGGTAGAATGGAAAATTAATTGTTTAACATCTAATATCGAATCATTTTGGAGAAGGGAAAGATATTGAGGCTGTCATCTTATTTTGTAACAACAATTTGAAATCAATTACGATACATTTTTTAGCAATATTGTGTAATAATAAGTATTTATCATATAAGGTTTTGTAGAGAAAATTAACTTCTAAGATTTTTTTCATCTCCATTTATTGTTAAT